ATCAGTTCGTGGCCTCAGATGAGCACGACGTTCTTGCGACATTTCCAAGCCCATCGGAAATTTTCAATGCCTTTGAGCTACCTCAGCAACATAGGCAAGAAAGAGACGAATCCTGCATCTTACGGTGACGCTTCCACAGGGAACTCAACAAGGGGGCTCACGCCCAGAAGATTCCATCCGAACTCTATAATAGCCGGAGTTCGCAAATCGACCTGTGGAAGAACTGCAGGCTGAGGACGATATTTCCCTCACTAGATTCTACAACCTGCGAAAAGTATCTCCGAATAGAGAATTCACTGGCGGCACTTCGCCGTCGCGATCACGGCACCTCCAGCAGTATGTCAGGTCGGGGAGTAAAGGCGAGTTGATCGTAAAGGAGACAAGACGTCAGCAAAAAGGGAAGAAACCCCGCTACGAGCAGAAAAAGTCCTACGCTCCTGTTCCCCGTCTGACACGCGATAGGGCCCAATACACTCACTGAATGTGTCCATATCTGCGATCCTCGACAAATCGAGGAAGCCAGCCTGCTCGGTGAACCAGAACCCATGAAAAACTCCTGCAACGGCCAGGAACAGCAAGAAATACTGTCGATATCATCGGGATAATGGGCATCACACTGATGAGTGCCGAGCTCTAAAACAGGCTATCGAAGAACTAATCAAGAAGGGGCATTTCAAGGAGTACATTGAGACTCCCCAAAGAAAACCAAGGGAGCGAAAGAACAAGCGCCGTGATCGCAACGGGTACACAATGTGAACTGATTTTCGGAGGACACCTGCTGGAAACACGCGGGGGGGCAGGACAGGTATGCTCGGGAAGCGCATCATGATCCGATCAGTGTCATGGAACATCGCAGCGACCTCAGAAAGCCAGGAAGGAAGAACCCATCACCTTCTGCGAGAAGGAGGCAGCTCGCTTGACCATCCGCACGAGGACGCTCTGGTAATCACCCCCCGATCGGATGTCACAATGTCTGCAGGATGCTTGTGGACAACGGGAGCGCTGTGAACATTCTGTTCAAGTCAGCTTTCGATAGAATGAACCTGGTCAAGGCCGACCTGAAGCCAGCTTCGATGCCTCTATACGGTTTTACAAGGGATCACTAATCCCCAGCGGAACAATCCAGCTCCTAGTCACGCTCGGCGACTACGACGAGGTGACTAGAGTTACAGAGTTCCTGGTCGTAGACGCGCCATCGACCTTCAATGGAATCCTAGGGCGACCTTAAAGAACCTTTAAGGCAGTTACTTCCATCTATCATCTCAAGATGAAGTTCCCCACGTCGGGGATCGGGGAGGTAAGCGGGTCGCAAAGTGCATCACGCGAATGCTATATAAAAGCGGTCCAAATGGGACAAGGGGAAGGGCATTTCGGGTGCGCGCCCCGTCAGGCTATGACGATCAGCCGGACGAGCCCCAGCCCGGTCCAGCAGAGGATAATATAGATCCATGAATTCAGGAAATCCCCCGAGCGGCGATTGAGGATCGTCTGAAGTATCAGTTGATCCGAAAGAGCCGAGCGAATGCTAAAGATCGGGAGCTGTCTCAATCCCCAGCTCGCTTTCGAGCTGGTGAACTTCTTGAAGGAGAACATTGATGTGTTGCGCTGGTCGCACGCTGACATGGTCGGGATCAGCCCGGACGTTATCTGCCATTCCCTGAACGTCAGCAGTGAAGCTAAGCCGGTGCGCCAAAAGAGAAGGGCGATGGATCCAGAGCGGTACGCCGCGTTAAATCAGAAGTAGAGAACCTTTCCGAAATGGATCTATTCGCGAAGCTCTCTACCCGACCTGGGTCGCCAAACGATCCTGGTAAAAAAGCCAAATGGTAAGTGGCGAACCTGCGTAGACTTCAGTGACCTGAACAAAGCTTGCCCGAAAGACAGTTTCCCCTTGCCAAGAATTGACCAGCTCGTTGACGCCACCTCGGGGCACGAGTATTAAGCTTCATGGATGCATACCGGGATACAATCATCCCGATGCATAAGCCAGATGAGGAGCATACGACCTTCATCAGGATAGGGGGCTATACGCTACAAAGGTAATGCCTTCGGAAGATGCGGGTGCGACCTATCAGAGGTTGGTCAACCGAATGTTCTCCGACCAGATCGGGAGGACAATGGGGTCTATGGAGACGACATGCTGGTTAAGTCCCAGTCGCCTCAGAACATATCAAGCACCTCCCAGAAATGTTGACATACCCGACTCTACAGAATGAAGCTGAACCCTCTCAAATGTTCATTCGGGGTATCGTAGGAAAATTCCTGGGGTATATGGTCAACCAGCGGGGCATAGAAGTGAACCCCGAAAAGATTCAAGCTCTGCTCGATATGGAGAGCCCAACCACCAAAAAGCAGGTCATGAGTTTGAAAGGCGGAATAGCGGCACTCAGTCGCTTCATCAAGGCTAACCGACCGCTGTTTACCATTCTTCCGTTCTGAAGGCCAATAAGAAATCGAATGGACTTTCGAATGCGAGCAGGCATTCCAGAGTATAAAAGAGCATCTAGGGAAGCCACCTTTCTCTCTAAACCTCTTCACAGGAAATCCTGTCGTCTACTGTTGGTCTCAGTTCGGGTCAGTGCAGCTTTAATACGGGAAGAGGGAAAAGCTCAGTGGCCAGTTTATTATGCAAGTAAACGTCTATCGGATGCCGAGATGCGGTACGGAATGGAGCGATTAGCTTTCGCCCTATTGATCGCGTCTAGAAAGCTCGACCTTACTTCCATGCCCATACGATCAATGTAATGACGAGTTACCCCCTCAGGCAGGTCCTCCAGAAGCCAGAGGCTCAGGAAAGTTGCTCAAATGGGCCATGGAGTTGAGCCAGTTTGACCTAAAGTATATGCCCAGGTCGACCATCAAAGGGCAGGCTGTTGCAGACTTCATCTCGGAGTTCTCCTATCTCCCAAGCGAGCAGCAGTCCAGCGAGTGGGCAAGAAACTATTCAAGACCTACGAATGGAACCTCTACGTCGACGGGTCATCAAACAGGAAAAGAGCGGTGCGGGTCTCCTCCTGGTGAGCCGAAGGGGCTGAATCATGGAACTCCGATTCGGGTTTAAGGCGACCAACAATGAGTCCGAATACGAAGCCTGCTCGCGGGTTGCGACTCGCCAAAGAAATGGGTGCAACCGCGATCAGTATCTACAGCGACTCCATGCTGGTCGTCAACCAAATTCTAGGAGAGTACCAAGCCAAAGAAGGAAACATGGTCCGCTACTTGGAAAAAGCTAAGGCCTCTTTGGGGTCGTTCAGACACTTTAAAATCGTCAGATCCCCAGGGAGAGCAACTCTATAGGGACGCCTTGGCGAAGATAGCTTCATCATTAGACTTGAGGCCCCTGTAGCATTCCTGTTCGTTTTGTCGATGCTCGTCCATCAGCTCGACCGAACAGGCCATGAACGGGGTTCAATCGGATTCCTGGATGACTCCCATTATACAATACCTCAAGGACGGGACCTGCCTAACGACAAGGTCAAGGCAAGGGTCCTACGAGAAGGTCTGCTCGCTTCATACTCATCGGGGATCAGCTATACAGGAGAGGTCAGTGCCCCTCCTGATGTGTAACTAGTGAAGAAGCAGACTACATCATGCGGGAAATTCATGAAGGGATCTGTGGCAACCACACAGCAGCTCGATCTCCCGAACAAAATTGTTCGTCAGGGATATTATTGGCCCCAGATCCAAGATGATGCGCACAACTTCGTCAAGAAGTGCGACAAATGCCAACGGTTGCGAACGTTCCGCGAGCACCCTCTCACGAAACTGGTTACTATGTCAAGCCCCTGGCATTTTCCATGTGGGGGATCGACCTTATCGGCCCCATGCCAGTTGGAAAGGGAGAGGTCAAGTACGCCGTGGTCGCGGTGAGACTATTTTACAAAATGGGTCGAAGCGAGCACTGGCCACGATCACGACCAGGAAGTTAAAGACTTCGTTTTCAAGAACATAGTGGCCGCTACGGAATTCCTACACCCTTACTCAGATAATGGAAAGCAATTCGATAATGAGGAGTTCAAGCAGTTCTGCAACGAGCTGGGCATACCAAGAAATTTGCCTCAGTCGCCGACCGCAAGCGAATGGCCAAGTTGAAGCAGTCAACAAGACCATCAAGCACACTCTGAAGGCCAAGCTCGGGGCAGCCAAGGGAAATTGGGCCGACGACCTCCCGAAGTTTATGGGCGTACAGGACAACTCAAGGACCTACCTCGGAAACCCTATTTCACTAGCCTATGGCTGTGAAGCCATGATCCCTGTAGAGGTCGGGACCGGTCTCTCGGAGGGACCTGTACAACGGGACGACAATGAAGCACTCTGAGAGCGAGTTTGGATTTAATTGAGAGCGTCGCAGCAAGGCTTCACTAAGGATAGCAGCCTACCAGCAGGAGCAAAAAGGTTCTTCGACTCAAAGGTCGGCGAGGACTTTCAGGTCGGAGACCTGGTGCTAAAGGAAGTTCTCCTCGGGCTCAGAGAGCCAAGTGCGGGGGTGCTAGGGCCTAACTGGGAAGGTCCGTACCGGATCGACAAAGTGATCAGACCAGGAGCGTACCATCTCAAGAGATTGAATGGCTCCAAGGTACCCGAGCTTGGAACGCCGAGCACCTTCGGCCATACTATCAGTAATCCCAAACTCAGCTCAGTTTTTGATAATTTCTTTTCAAGCGTTACTTTGTTTTTTTAAAACAGTTCGAATGTGTTCTGTTCGCATGTCAAAATTTTAGTAATCACTCATGTGAACCACAATTGTAAATAGTGCATATTATAAAAAGTAAATTTCAATTGCAAAGAAAGTCATACAAAAGTTTAAGACTCGGGTACAAAGGGAGCGACTCTCTAAAAACTAAGGCTGGTCGGGAAGATCCTTCGAGCCGGAGCCAACGCCTGGTCGGGTCCGGTGGGTTCCTGGGTGGCCGCGGCAGCCTGGTCCTCCTCGGCCATGATCCGAAGGTCGCCTGCCAGAGATTGGAGGTCGGAGAAGTCCAAATCAGGGTTCTTTGCACCAAAGGGCGTAGATGGACCCGATGCCCAGTCCGCAGCCTTCTCTCCATCCTCAGATGATTCTGCATTTCCGCAGTCAGTGCAGTGACTCCCGACTTCTGAAGTTCGGTCTCAAGGGCCAGCCTTTCTTGTTCGAAGGCCCCTTTATCTTCTTCAGCTCGCTGAGCCGTTCGAAAGTCCCCGCATTTCGGTCTTCTCACGACTCCTTGGTGAGCCGGGCGGTTGTCCTTTGAAGCTCTTTTATCTCTCCGCACGACGGTCGAGCTCCGCCTTTTGGAAATCCAAGTTCGTAAGGCGGCGGCCTTTGGTGCAAATACCTGTTCGCCGCTTCGAACGCCTGTGCCCTTTCGGCTTCGACGGACTCCAAGCTCTGCTTCAGCTTCGCGACCTCCTCTTCCAGGTCGCTTGTTCCCTTTGCGTTCCCCAGCCTTGTCTTCTCCATAGACATCCTCATCGCAAGCCATCCCTGGAGCAAAGTACGAGTTAGAAATAAATCGGATTGAAATTTCAAGTTACGGTAGTCTTACCTTGCTCAGATGTTGAAACGACATAGCCAGCAGGTCGTCGCCGTGTCCGCAAATTTGGCGTACGACTCTGATAGCTCGCAATCTAGCAGGCCGTAAACAATTGGTTGCAGGTATTCGGGCAGACTCCCAAAGAGTCTAAGACAGGTGCATCCTTCGCCTTGGCTAGCACCTGCTTCACCACGGGCTTTGCCGACCTCCGGGATCCTGACGCGACCTCAGAGGTTCTCCCTCAGATTCAGTCTCCGACACTTCGGGCTGAATCTGTTTTCTTTTCTTCGACCTCTGGGTCGGAGCCTTCGCTTGGGAAGAGCATCGGCGCCTGAGCGGCCTGCTCCGACCTGGTTGTGCCTCTGCGAGCGGGGCGGGGCTGAGGAGCTGGGACTGTTCGCACGGCTGTGCCGGGACGGCACGAGCAGCTAGCCTCCCTCTCGATCCTCGATCGAGGAAAGACAAACAGTGCTCGGCGGGCATGCCCGGATTCCTTTGGGGGCACATTCCTGCATTCAAGGTCGTTAGTAATCGAAACCAATTCGGACCAGAAGGGGAATAAGTGTGACTTACCTCTTGAGGTTTTAAGACGCCGGTCGCTGAAAAAAACCGTACTTCCGCAAGTTCGCGGTGGTCACAAGCTTCCTCGCGTCGCGACTATCCTCGTCCAGTACTCCGAAAGATACAAGCCTGTCGGGTCAGCGAGTAGCGACTGCTCGGTCGTTCTATTAACTGTAAAAAAAACAGGTCGTTACTACAAATCGGGCGAGCAGATAATGAACTCAATAAGAAAACCTACTGGATCTTGAAAACGGCAAAGGTTGTACATGAAAAAGAAGAACTTTGACTCGTAGGTCCCGCATTGCTGGGGTAGCTATGTATCCCGCGGCAATGGTAGGTGCCGAGATAGGTAGTACGAGTCCTTGTCCCTACTCTTCTTAAGATAGTAGGCGACACCGAGCTCTACCGCATTGCTCTCCCAAGCCGCTCTCGCAGTACGCGATGTACATCGCGACAGCGATGACATACGGGTTTGGCGTCCATTGCATCGGTGCGATCCCGAAATGATCCAGGACCGACCTGATGAAAGGATGGAAGGGAATCCTCCCCCACCCTTGAGATCTCCTCTAAGATCGCGGCGAGGCCAGTGGTCTGGGCGCCGCGACGATCTGGTATGGGCGAGGAACACCTTGCGCGAATATCGTACTGCGTCTTTATTCTATCAAACTCCTCAGAAGTAAGAACCGAGTAAACATCGAGGGCTGCGTCCTCGGGGACTTCCCGCGAGGACGAGCGGCTCCTTCCTCGGGTCTGGATGTTGGTTCCATTCCAGTCTGCAACATCGACAGACACGGTCATTAGAGCCTTTGTGTTCGTCCCGAGTAATGACAGGACGCCTAAAAACCTACAAACGACTCGAACTGTCGTCCAGGCTCGAATCCAAGGGCGGCGTCGTGTCTCCGGTGAAACGCCGAGAGACCCAACACACTGTTAACCAAACCAAAAAAAAAAAAAAAAAGGAGAAGAATATATATATATAAAGGAAAAAAGAAAAACTTATCTCTGAGACGCGAAGCTGGCGCCGAAATTCGTTCGATTGCCTGAAAAAACGCCGGTCGGAGGAAAGTTGTTCTGGTGTGCGAAGATTTTCCATTGAAGCGAAAGAAATTTCGGTGGCCTCATCAGAAAAGTGAGGGTTTTATATGAGGGTTACGAATCGACGGTTACCACCCCTGGAACTGAAACGACAGCCCACTCTCTCTCTCGCATTAAATGCGCCCCACGTCGCATTAAATGACGCGATAATGGGTCGTTTCGGTTACGCTCGCCACTAACGCTGTCAAACGGTCCACATCAGCACACGAGGCATTTAATGTGCCTGACAAAAGCTTTAACGTGCGCAGATCGCCTGACAGCATAAAAACCAAGTTCATTGAATCCGTACAGAAGCGTCCATCAGATCCAGGTCGCTAAAGTGCATATTGTCAGGTCGCTCCGGCAGAGGGGCGCAAAATCGTGCTCGCCAGGGTTTGTACCGAGCTCATCCCATTCAGGTCGGAGCGAGTAAAAAGACGACGTGACTATTTTCCAAGGTCCGACCTTCGAACCTTAAAAACTAGGGGGCTTCTGTTGTGCCCCAGGAAATAAAGGGCTGACGTGGGAAAGTCACGTGAAGGGCGACCTGCTCCCGTCAGAGCAGCACGCACACGTCAGACCTGCCAAGTGATGTGGAGCCCACACGCGTCCATTCTCCTGCAACAAGTCGTGCGATGTCAGCTTGGAAAAAGGGTAATGGGACGTAAAGCCGGATTACATACTGACAATCACACCAAACCACGGATTTAGTGATGATTATACGCTTCGGTTCAGTATAAAATAGGGAAGACCCCTTCATTAGAGGGATTCGGCCAGTTTTCATAAAAAAAGCAGAAATCTCCCTCTCTCTTGAAAACTTTTCTTTGACTTTTTCGTCTGATGTAAGTCAGCTCGCGACCGCGACCTGACACCCACTAATATCAATGCAAATCAGTGGACGTAGGACTTGCTACCTTAGCATCCGAACCACTTAAAAACTCCCTCTACAGTTATTTCACTTTTCATATATTCCATTTTCATGTGTATCGAACAGCCAATTGATATTATACACGTAAAAATTTGTTGGTGTAAAAACTAGCATCAACAGTTTTAATTAAAGCCGAAAAGCATTTGATTTTGCCAAGTGTGTTAAATACAAGTTATGAACGAGTAATTAATTCTTTAATACATGATGTATGTTAAAATAGAAGTACATACATATCCATGATATCATTTTCTAAAGTTTAATACCTACTCAAAACATTCCAATGACTTGTAGTTTATGTATTTTTTATTCCCATAAGTTTACACGTTGAAATTTTGTATCATTTTGGTGATGGAGGGAGTCCAATGGAAGAGTAAGGCAACAGAATGTAACATAACTGAAAAAAAAAAACACACTCGAGGTATACATAACATGTATGTAGCCTCTCTTTATTAGGTCATCCATTGTAACTTGTAAAATAAATTAATGAAAACATTTTGCTAAAGTAGGAAACATATTTCACTGGATTTGACAATATGTTTCTCTAATTGCTATCCATCCAGAACTTTTTCTGGAGATCTTCCACCACTTTCTTGTCCAACTGGAAAGCTTTAGCGAGAAAACCAGGATCAATGGCAGGATCTGATCCAAATACTGCATTTGCGATGGTAATTACACCAGGGTTCTGGCTGCTTAAACCAGCAAAAGCAATCGCTTTTGTTTTTCCAATATTGAATTGGAAGTGAATGAGACCAATGGGAAACACAAACACATCACCCTTGTTAAGAACTTTGCTGATAAGTGTGTTGTTTGGATTGGAAGTAACGAAACCAACAAGAAGAGTACCCTCCAGGACTACAAGAATCTCAGTGGCACGAGGGTGAGTGTGAGGTGGGTTTTGGCCATAAGGAGCAAAGTCAATACGGGCAGCTGAAATGCCAAGAGTGTTAAGTCCTGGAATTTGATCGACATTCACAGCGCTAACATTTGAACCAACTGGATTGTTTGTGTCTCCAGGCATCTTAACTGAAAAGTAGAAATCCCCAGCTTTGGCGAGCTTGGGGTCCTTGCAGAACTTCCCATTCACAAACACTGAAAACATGAAAGAATTGAATTAATATCGAATACATGCCGAGCCATAGAAAGGATGTATACAGAGAGAGTGTGTGCATGTGTGCTGCTAATGTACATTCAAAAATATAAAAATAGAAATTGTGACAGAAACTTAATTAAAACGTACCACCGTGCAGGGGATCATCAACGGCTACACAGAAGTCCTGAAGAGGACTGGGATCAAAAGCAGAGGCCAATGAGGAAGCCAAAGCCAAGAGAATAAAAGCCAAAAGGAAACTTTTCATCTTGATGAGTGGGTTAAGTCTCTCTATTCTTCAAGTATTATTGCTTTAGTAGTCAAGGTGAGATATGTTGCAAGGCAAGTTAGTGTATTTATAGATAAAATTCATTGAACTAGTCTTCATTAGTTCCCCTACTCGAAGAAGATGACGAAGACTCACCAAGTCTTCAATGGTTATCTATTTTTAATTTCCATCAAGAGCAGGTCTTTAACAACCAAATCAAATTGTCAAAGTAAATTTTTTTCTTCATTGCTTACATTACTGCATTTAAATGCATAGAAGAGGTCCGCTTTCGTATCTCACTTGGCTGCTGGTGTTCTTAAATTTCATTGACTGAGTCGTCCAACATGCATGATCAAGAAAATAGTGAATGGATTCACACAGATTTGCTCAAAATAAGACAAAAAAAAATGTATCGTCTTTATGATCTGCTAGAAATTAATAAGACTAGATTAAATTCTTAAATCAGACATAATCTAATTCCCAATACTGCGTACTAAATTTCAGTAACATAAGGAATAAAATCGTTTACGGAAGCTAATAAAAGGAAGTACGAAAAAATGTACATTTGCTGACCAATCATGAAATTCAGTTGGATTGTGTCTCTAAACCTTCATAATTTCATTTTTGTGCCGGCTAATCTCATTTCCACATGTAATCGGATCTCCAATTCTTGAAAAAAAAAATTATTTGTTTAGGTTGTAGGATCCTTTAAGTGATTTAATAAAAGGAATTATTTAAAGAGTAATATTAGCTTTACAAAGAGGCATACAAGGAGCCATACAATAACTAAAATCTAGCCTTTGAAAGAAGGAAAAAAGAGAGAGAGAAAGAGACAATCATGAATTTCAAGGATTGGATTTGACTCTTTGTATAGTTCTTTGTATGCCCCTTTGTAAGGCTAGTATTACTCTTGTTTAAATACGTAAACAATTTTTTCCCACCCAAAGTTTGCCTTAATGAACTTTCCCACCCAAAAAGTTTCAAAATACTATTTTTCCATCGGACATTTATATTCCATTAATACCCAAAAT